TCAACAACTAGTGACTCTGCTCCTTGGGGAGGCGGAATTTTATTTATCTGAAACACGCTTTCGTTAGATATTAATTTCAGACATTCTTGGCGAGTTGCATCATTTCCAGTCAAAGCTTGAAAAGCAGAATGCTTTTGTAGGAAATAGATGATTCGAGCWAATGGAAGCCTCACAATGTGTATGATGAAATATTCCATGGCCTTCACGAGGGTCGATGAGTTGATTAATGCTTGTCGGTCACAAGCAACATCAATCTGCCATGTGGTTTCAGAACCTTCTTGCTGATTTCCAATCCAACTGCAACATAATTCCTTGAAGCAATTCATAACGTCTGGACATGACGTCATAACGCTGATCAGACCAGAAATGGCATCAAGATTGCAAGGTTTTGTAGTGGGAAATCTGATCTGAGTGAAACACCATAAGACTTGATCAGTTGCTACTTTGTGRAAAGGAACAGTTTCGGATTTCAAAAGAACATCTATAACTGAGTACTCCAGCATTTCTCTGATTAGTACAACTGGCTTCTCAAGGCATTCAATCATCACTTGCGACCAACCACTTAAGAAGTTAAACTGCCATCGATAGTYACATTCTTCTTCAACTGAGCGACGAAGATGCACCACAATACAGACATGCTTTTCACTTGAGCTTTGAGGAGAGTTAATGAATGCTGTACGCTGTTCTTCGATGATAGTTTTCACCAATAGCATGTGAGGTGCATCTGTTTCTGGTCTGCATTGGACTACCAGAAGATTGGCYTTGGACTCCCACCAGAAGTATTTAATTCGTTTAGACAACTCTTTCTCAGACTTAAAAAAGCTGAGTTTTTCAATCTGAACCTCGAAAAGATCGTCGATGGATTTAGACACATCATTATGAATGCTGCTGTGTGTCATGATGAGAAGCTTCATACCAGCTGAACCATGATCTCCTTTTTGATGATTCTCAAAGGTGTGCTCCAGGAATGTTTTCACACCATCATGGATTGGCTTCTCAAAGTAGCTATGGTAAAGCTTATTAACTTCCTCATCATTCATWTGATTAAGTTTGGAATTGCGACTTCGAATAACGGCATCTGGCATAGCAATAGTCATCAGATCATCTTTACATCTTTCTAAAACGTCTTCGTCAGATCTTTCGGCCTCTTTACTATGCAAAAGTACAACGGAAGGTAGAGTATCTTCATGGAATCCAGCAAACATGTCAAACTCGTCAAATTTAGTTTCATGACCATGTACAGATGAAATGCTCTCTGCCCATTCTCCCATCTCCTTTATCAACGTCCTTTGTCTGTCGTCAAGGATATCTGAGAATCGTAGCAGCTGCTTCTCGAAGCGATTCAAGAAGGGTGGGTCGGAGTAGTCAACTTTATCCTCATCAACAAGCACAATGCACCTAAAGCCGTCATCTACTTGACACATTGGGTTGCTAAATGCCCCCAGGGCAACTCTGCAGTTCTTTTTCCCCCCAACYACCATGTAGTTTTGGTTCAGCATGTCGTATAAACTTCCGTAGATTCTTTCCAAGTCACGTAGGATTAAGATGCAGTTGCGTTCCATGCAAAGAATAATTCGACTAAGAATACGGTGACTGTAGTCTGCCGAAAGATCTTCTTCAAAACGGCTTCCAAATATTGTGATCTTTTCCTTCTTCAAATCATTCAAGGTTTGGTCGAGAATTCCAATGGCTGAATCTCCATTCGTGATAAGCATTAAATGGCGTGCCATTCTGTCGTTCAGATTACCCTCGATCAGGTCGGTAACATGGAAATCTTCAACATCACCAATTGTTTGAGATAATTTGAGTTTCTGTAAAAATGCTGACTGAAGGTCACCCTTGCCTGCAGTAATACCACCAAAGTTTCTTTGCATGGCTCGCTGGATGTTTGTGCTGTTTTCACCTGGGTCTCGACAWGACARGCACTTAGCCATAGAATAGTAATCTCTCAGACCATGGAAGTTTTCATGTTTTTGCTTGGCCTGGTATTCATGATATGCCTCTGCAAGGCAACGTATTTGAGGATCTGATGACAAGGACCTTGTTACATGTYTAACTTGTGCATTGCGGATAGAAAGACCAGTCTCATAAAGATCATCCTTATCTGGTTCCGGACGAGACAGATGAATGGCACGATTCATCTTAGCAGCATCTAAAGCCCAGTTTGAAATTCCCACAACGGCTACATCGGGAAATTTGCCTTCGCCCGGTTCAAGTAGACGGTGAAGGACCTTGAGTGGGTTAAACTTTGAAATCTCTGCTAGTCCAATTTCRTCYARAAGSACGACAGGWAGGACATTTTCAGCTTTKGATTGGTACTTCCTTGCTTTCTCAAACACCTTCTCAATACCTTCAGAGGTCGACGATTCAGAGCCTTGAAAAGATACAACCATTAGCTGCGGGAGTGTTTTCAGAAATGGATCTTTAGAGTCTCTTCCGCGCAGATTACTTCTAATGATTTGCATGGAGAGGGATTTRCTGCATCCTGGTTTTCCAACGATGAACACAGGGATTCTGTTTAGAATACAAACAAGTATGACAAAAACGTTTTCACGAAGAGCAGCGTTCTTTGCTGTTCCTTCAGGAAGCTCCATTCTTAATAGGTAATCTTCCTGCTCCGCTCGGATGATACTTTGGAATGAATCTTCTAACTTCTTAAASCTGTTCAATCCATGTTTATCAAGTATCACAGTCATCTGTTTGCAATAGCTGTTTCTTAACTCTGTTGTTGGGAGTCTTGAGAGATAGCAGTGTGCAAGAGCCAGTACAATTGCTTTCTSAGTATTTGTAAATTGTTGTGCTGTATGAAAGTACTTAGCAGTGTGTGACKGATGACTGGTACAAGTGTGCGAGCGATTGCTCAACGTTTYATAAAACCACCTCATCAGAATTGTGGCTCTGTGTACATCTCGAAGACTCACACAGAAGGAACTCTTGTCTTCATCTCTGATAAACTGTTGTGAAGTGGCCAGCAAATCCACTAGCATATCACGTTGAGCGCCATCAAACATTCTCTCTACCATACGACCAATGTATGCCCTTTCATCTTTGCTATTCAGTGATCCATAATCCCAAACATAGTCGATCATCGTTTCGGGCAACGGGTGAACTCGATAAACCAGCTTTGAAAACTCATCAAATGATGTCTTTCCAGTTAAACCAGCTGTCATGATACGCCCAGGTGGGCGGAGACGATAAGGATTGCAAGCAGCAACAAAAATGAGGTTTGACGCCAATGGTCTACCTTGAATAGAACGATGGCACACAATCTCATTAACGGTTCCCAGATAGTCACAAGTATTGATTTCATCCAAAAACACCCACATCGACTTTCCTTTTTTTTGAAGATTTCTGGCCTCTTTGTCTTTGGAATAAATGAATTCAGTGATTTGCYGTTCTGTTATACCTGCGTGGAAGCTGAGCACATCAAAGGGGATGTCACAAGTCTGGGCAAGGTATCGCACGAGGCTTGTTTTACCACATCCAGTTTCTCCCATAATGATAACAGGAATACCTGCTTGCATCCGTTGAATGATTAAGGCCATTTTCAGTAGGTTGTCTGGGGTAAGTGCATAATTCAAGGACGCTAGTTTTTCCCTATCTACATTTGTAGGAGCATCTGAAAACTTTTCCAATCTGCTCTGTAGCTCCTTCTGTGTCATTTTTGAGTAGTCCTCCAGATCCTTACCATGYACTGCTTGACTCTTGAAAAGATCTTTAACGCTTTTCGGTACATCTTTCAAATCTCGATAAATCGCTGTGATGGAACCAGCTCCGTGCAGCATGAGTACAAGCTGTTGGTTGTCAGACCACTGAATCATTCCTTTAACCCTGTCCACCATTTCGTCAGCACTTATAGCTCCTCCTGCTTTCATCTTTTCCAAAGCGTTTTTAGCCTGAACTTCGCTGATCGCATCACTCTGGGTTGCCTTACATGCATTAACGGATCTTGCAGCGAAACTAGTGGAAACCTCGAGCAACGCTTTGAAAAGACGTATACGAATGTCATGGTTTTGTCCAACCATATCTTTAAGGTGTTTAGGCTTGAAATAAGGGCTCCTTGAAAACTTTAGAAGTTGACATGCCAAGACAGATAGGAAGTTTTCGAGAATGTTGAAAGACGGATCGCCACCAGGAAAAAAATGCTTTCTCAAAAGCGCCTGGCACTTTGAAGAACTAAGTGGTTTGGAATTGTTTATTCCACTTAAATTCACCTCTTGGTACTCGAGTTTTCCACTGTCGTAGGCACTTAAATAGTGACATACAATCTGAATAGGACTTGTTAGTTCCTCGCTTATCCTTAAGTTACTGTAGTTTTTCCAATCCACTTTCAACCTTTTAAAGCACTTACATACTGGAAGGGAGTTTCTCATTCCTTGTTGCAAGGTATTGGCAATTTCGATGTAAACATGGTCAGTAGGCAAACTGAATATCAAAGCCTCTGATGAGACCATTTTAGTGACAACTAATTCAAACAAGAAAGTATCTAGGCCTGCTGGGTCGTCAACCTCTCCAATATCGAAGTGGAGCGATTGGAAAGACTTGAGTTTCAGTTCAGAAAGTCTTTTGACAAGATCACGACGGACAAAGGGTCCACTGATTGGGAATGTTACGACAGCTTTACCCTTTTCACCAGCATGAAAAGAAATTTCCTCGGATTTCCCAAGACCAGGGAGATCCCCAGTTACAAGGAATGTGTTAGGGCACATTTCTTCGAATGTTGTTCTCATGTCTGCATCAGCAATACCTCCATGATAATGCACGTAGTCAGAGAATTGATCTGCAATATGATGATGAGGCCCTCCACGACAAACAATTGCCAGACGGTATGGAGCATCAGTGTTACTCGTCCTGAGTTTCAAAGTGTCAACCAGTTTGAACTGAATGTCGTTTGGAAGGCATTCAACATTGGCGATGCAATGCAGATTGCTTGTAAAGCCATGTCGATGGGCTTCAAATGTTCGCAAGAGAAGTAATTCTATTTCATCCCATGTTGTCTGCGGGTTGCAAAATAGAATCTGGCTAGGTTCTGGAAGACGAGCACATGTGTTTCCAAAAAGGGACATGATGACGTGAACAGTTTGAGCACTGTCGGTCTCTAGGACACCAACATAGAGTTTGCAAGGCTCTACAACTGCGTCTTTCGCGACAAGATTCGGTTCTAAAATTGGCAAAGACTTTACTTTAGAATGCTTGAATATTCTCTCTAGGGCAGATCCAATTGCATGAACTTCGTGTTCTGTGTTTGTCGTTATGGATTTCAAATATTCTGAATGGAAATACGGGAAGTCATCCACATTTACTCCGCTATCGATTTGGCGAAATATAGCCAGAACTTCATCTGAAAAGCMCTTGTCAGATTTAGTGTTCTTGTGGAAAAACGATTTAAGCAACCAGAAATGCTTTGTGTGAACAAAATTCAAGAAAAAGTGCTTCTGACGGACCTCAAATATCATTTTGTTCCAACACTCCACTTCACGACTGATACGTTGTTCTTCTTCTTTGATTTCATCCATGCTCTTCAGCAATTTCCAGTAGGATTTGTCGTAATCAGGCATTCCAGACATTTTCAAAAATGTGTAGTTGCGAACAATGTCTGTAAGAAGGTCAACTTGCTCAACAAAATATCTCAAATCTGCGAGTGAAATCACAGACGCTTGAATATCGACATTCTCCACGTGCGACTTGTCAGCGTTAACCATCAACAGGGCTCGGCTTCTCAGATCATTTAAATCATCATGATTGTACTTTGCTTCACTATTGTTCTGGTCTTGCCGTTTATATGTCAATTGGACCTCCACACTTCCGTCCTCATTTATACGAACTAGGTACTGTCCATAGTTTACAGCACTTTTGATTATCTCCTTTGTCATCTCTCCTCTGTTTGACAACATCATGTGCAGACCTCTTAGGCTATGAACGTTACAACTGACGACTTTAATTTTGGCTGCCATTTTCGTTGTCTTCGCACTACTTGAACTGTGTTTCGTGATGTTTCTGTATGMCTGGGATATCCCATCTAGGAACAATTCTGGCTTTTTAGGCTTGTTTGAAAGTAGTTCTCTCAAAAACCGATGGACATCTATGAGGTACGACACAGTTGTCTCTTGAATAAGTTGGTCTGAATGTTCTTCTACGGCTTCAACTAAGTCTACCATGTTATCTTTGGCGGTTGTAATGATGAATTCAATYAATTCTTTAGCGAGTGACAATTCATTCAAGATGTCAACAAGGTCGGGAGAAAGTTGACAGTTKAACTTCACAATAGTGGGATTCTCCATGTTTGCAGARATACTCTTTAAAGACCCTGACACTTTACAGTTCAGAAATGAATGCAAAGTTTTCTGAAAGCTGCCTTCGTCTTCAAGGCSAACTKCATACCCTACAGTATCTAAGCACTCCATCGCGACCTGAAGTTTTCTTTCGACATCGTTAAATTGAACATAGTTTTGCAGCATCTTTGTAGCATCCATTGAAAAAGCAGGGATATTAAGGATCACGTACACATCTTTGAATTCTCTTTCAATAGCACTTGCCTCTATACCTACAAGGAGTTTGTCTAATTCTTTTGAAGTTACCGAGCAGCCTTGGTCTGCAACTCTTCTCAAAACATCCTTGAAGGTCTTGATTCCGT